AGTCAACGCTGCCTACACACGGCTCAGACCTACACAATGCCACAATGCCTCATCCAATCGCAGCTGCGTGCAGCCTAACTAACTTCAAGAGCCTACTGTCGCAAGGATCCAGGCCAGCACCTGCTGCAGGCGCCAGGCCAGGGCTGCCATGCACGACCTTGATCAAAGCTGTCCGCAGGCCGCATGCTGATCGCACCGAAGGTCCTGCCCAGAGGAACTTTGCAACGAAGGGGAATGCTCGCGTCTACTGCAGGTCCACGTCGACAAGTCGGCCTGTTGCTGAAATGCCCAGAGAGAGCTCAGAGTGAGAGGCAGGTCTGTTGAAAGCTCCGAGGCTTGGAGACCGAGCATGCACATTATCCGCTCAGGCATGTGACATGTGCCGCGCATTGCACAGAGCACAGTCACGTTTTGGCCAGTTCTGGAAAGTCCGCGATGCCGGGAGATCGGCCTGGAGTCTATTCTCCATGGTGTTTGTGCGGCTCTGAGCTTGTAGTGAGTGGAGTCCGTGTGAGTGCATGTGAGTGCAAAATTCACTCCCCCTTTGCCCTCATCAGGTGCCAAAGCATCTCGTGGGTCTGGTCCGGCATGTGATTTCGGTTCACATAGAGTCGGGAGTCGATTTCGCAAGCGGTCCTCCTGTGCTGGTCCTGTGTCGGAGTGGAGTCCCTTTTACCCCCACTTCGAAGTGCAGAACACATGAGAAGTGCGTCTTTGCAGGATTGGCCAATCCCAACCCCATTCATTCCCTTTCTTGACATCAATATATGGAAATGGGGGAGTCCGACTGTCCATGTAAAGTGGTCTTAGAAAATTGCTCGACTCTCGAACGCGATAGGATGAGCACACCTTGAGATTGCGTGGGCTGGCGGTGGAGTTGCCAGGATGTCGAGGTGTATCATGGAGAGGGCATGTACCACGGTGGCCAGTGAGGCAACGAGTTGGGACTGAAACGTTTTGACGTTCGTTCGCGCGCTCACGGGGCATGGCGGCTCGAAGGCTTCTGGTGTCAGCGAGCTGAGAGCCATCGCCCTGACCTCAGCCTTTTCAGATCTTGTGCTCGGGGGCCAATTTTGGCCTGACCAAGGCTGGCAGTATCGTGAGGGCTAACCTTGCGACAGCTCAGCACATGGTCAAGCTGCAGGAGACAGTCGTTGTTTCCCGTCATCATTGCTGCAGTTCTTAGAGCTGATCCCGCAGAAAACCGGCATCCTCACCAAGTGGGCCATCCGTGCCTTGGATCGAAATTTGAGGCAAGGGAAGTTGCTTGGATCCACGCACAGAGACCACCACCCTAGAGTTTGACGGAAAAGGCACATTGATGCAGATTGTTTTCCGGCAGGCATTGACTTGCAAGGTTTGCTTGAGCGAGTGCAGTTGCTTGCAGCTTTTTCGGATAAATGGGATTGTCAATGAATGCTGACAGCGGCCTTGCAAATCGACATAAAGTATGGCACTGCTACGGCCAAACCTTTTAGGTGCGATGTCTGGAGACGGATTCTGCCAAATGGAGGTTTTGCATGATCTCAAGCGTCGACCCAAGCCTTACTCAAGAAGGTAAATGTTGGCCAACGGTCGCAAGTAACGCAGCCCAAACTTTTGGTCTCATCTTGCGAAGAGCATAGATATTCGGAATGACCGAGTGCTGTCGAGTCTGAACAGTCTTTGTGACGAGGCTGTGTCCTGGTCAGTGCCATCCAGAGACTAGGCTCCTGTCGGGCTGCCTGTCACATGTTTCCAGTTGACTGCCCACCTGACCGTAGCTTTTTCAATCATGAGAAACTCTTTAGCGGACGTAGCGTTGGCTTCGCTTGGGCGCCGCCCGGGAGCCGGCCTTAGTCTGCATCAGTGCGCGGAAGATGTGGAAGCAGGGGGCTCCCGGGCTCCCAGGGACGCATTCTGAAGCCAGGACATGGCGACTGGATCTGGATCCACATCGCGCAAGGTAGGGACGACTGTCCGCGGCGCAGCGCGCAGCGCGCAGCGGAGGCACTGAAGCTTGCTTTGTTCGAAGCCATCGACAAAGACGGAGATGGCTATCTGAAGGAGGCGCCGTTTACTTGCGCTGTGTCGATGGGCAGACTACGCCTCTGCTGTGCGACGTGCTCAGGGCGAGATGATGCAGCTGGCCAAGCTAGTAGGGTTCGATGGAGACACAGAGGAGTGGAAGAAGGACAGGGAGACTGGGCGCGACCAGTGACCCAATCCCGAACGCAATTTCCTGACCGAAAACGACCAGTTACGAGGAGTATCACGCTCTTTGCAAAGAGGTCAAGGCCACCTGGCTTCTGAGCTACCTTATGCAGGCTTTATGCCAAGCCACCGAAAGCCTAGTGGGCCTAGTGCTTGGCATCAAAGGTCTCTGAAGCGGAGGGGGTGCCCAAGGCTCGTTCTGCACAGGTATGCACTGCCGAGGCATGCCGAGGCCGTAGACGTTGTCATGCGAGGCTGTCGTTCTGAAAATGCTGGATGACACGTCTGACACGGGCTGCTTCTGCACGGATCAGGACAAGTTATGTAGGCAAGTGCTAGGAACATAGACTTTAAATTTGAGCAAGACCTTCTTGGTTGGCGGCTCTCCGGCGGTTCTGTGGTTTCAAGCGGGATCCCTCACCTTATGCACGCGCAAATTTCGTCAACTTCAGGTTCGTGTTGGCGATACCCAGAAATCAAAAAGAGTCTGAAGCTTCCTGGAACGTTTGGCCACACTCAACGAGACTTGTGCACTCTGACGCTGTCGACAAAATTCAGCGTTTCAAGCTTCGTGCAGTTTAAGAGGATCCAGAGTGCCAGGTCCCACACGTAACTCTGGTTGCAGCGACTTCCAGGAACTCCAGCTCCTGTTGTCAGCGCAGCCCCGCCCCGGGGCCAAGCGGCAGAAGGAAGACATAGGCAGGGCAAAGCAGAGCTGGAAGCAGTATGGTCCGCAGTGTTGAATTTTCTTGCTCTACTGCGTGCGCTTAGCCAGGTTAACCTATGGCCTTTTGATGAGTCTGAACGAGTTGCCAGGTAATGACGCCAAGGTTCGATTTTCCGGTGCATCTTCCGATATAGCCGAGGCAATTTGCCAGAACGGAGCACTTAAAACCCTGTGATATGTGGTGATACGCCGGTGTCCCAAGGATACGCTGCGGAGATTCTTCGGAAGAGCCGGCGAGGTACGAGCATTCAATAAGAGTGCCTGCATCACAGTGCACAGAATGTTTACAGCGGGATGAACTCGGAGGTGCTTGCCCTCAATCTGTTCAAACTCAAGGACCTCGCCCATTTGGCAAGCTCCTTGTCGCAGCTTTTCCAAAAGTCGCTTGGCCACCTTCCCACGGGCGGTAGAGAATGGAAGCAGGCAGCAATTAGTCTTGCATCATGGGGGTGTTTGTGTGGTGCCAGGCAACAGCATGCGCAAAAAGCAATTCCTCTTTGTACTGTACGCTTGTGCAAGGTTCATGTGGCAGGTTCATGGTTTGCTTCTATGCGCCTGATAGTTCTCCTTTGCTCTGTCTGCTGCGTCGGATTTCTGGAGCTGTCTCTGCATCTGAGATATGCTTGCTGAGAATCTTGCTGGTTGAAGGTTCCGATGGCATTCACCACACCTCTCGAAACTGCCTCCCGTCAAGTGGCTTTCTACGTTTTGCCGTGCGAGCCAGGACGGGCAATCGCGAGGTATGGGAATGGTCACCTACAAGAATGCCAAGCAGGCAGCTTGCATCAGCTGGCCAATTTTTGCTGAATTTTTGGCCGCCACTGCATGGAGTCCGCAACTCGTGCAGGCGAAGCAAGCCTTGCTCCAGCTGAACAACAACAAGGCAGGGTGAAAACTTCTCAAGCATGCCGTGCAACTTTGATTGCTAATGTTGCTAAGCTTGGACAGATGTGGACAATCAGGTGCAGGGATGGACAATCTCAGCCAGAAGCCTGGACATCGGGTTGGCATGTGAGCAGCTGAGGGTCGCACGCCTCTGACAACCCAGGTGTACACTGACCATGAGCAGCAATCTCAGATCCCACCCAGACATGGTGAGCCAGCAAAATCTCTCCACGGTTCCTTAGGTAGAGGTACCATGAAGTAAGGTCTCATCAGCCATGCTGGAGTAAGATAAAGTAATAAAGTAAGCGAAGTCAGAATGAGAAGCGCTTGAGCAGGAAAGCATTGTCTGCAAATTTCGTACTCGAGGATGTGCAGCAACAACCTTGTATTTTGAAGTGCTTGAACAAGCTCCCAAAGAAGCGCTCGTCTTTCGAATTCATCAGTATCCAACTGTCCCCAAGCCAAGCTTGCTAGTTTTTGGTTTTGCTGCTTTGCGACATGTGGTGCTAAAACTTGAAGCTGCACGGATCTGAGCAGTTCCTTTGCGCGTGGGCGGTCGCATAATGATCAGAGGGCGTATGTGACGAGAAGCAGCATAGACATAGAGCATGAAATGCGCGTGCCAGCTCGACAGCACATGAAATGCAGCTCACGTGCTCCCATTCTCAGGAACGACAGCACCACGCAGAAGCCGCCAGCTTTGGGTGAAACCTATGCTGCGTGGTACGGCAAAGGGACCGCAGGAAAGCGTCATGGCAGCTCCTCAGGTGAAGGCCTGCGTCAGGCAGTTCTCACAGTGAGCCTTTGGCCTGCCTGGGATGAAGGCAGCTCGGACGGGTGTTCGATCCACTTCGTTGGTGCTCCCCTGGACATGAGCAGCGACAAGCTCTACTCCATGTTCGAGGAGTGCTGTTCGAGGGATCCACCCCGACTACTCCCAGAGAGGACGGTTTCGCATGTCACCAGGAATGTGGGAGGATCAAGAGCTTCTGGCTGTTTCGACAGCATGCCAGAGTCTCAAGTGGCGAACACTCTCAGTGTTTGTGTTACTCTGCTGTACATGCGACAAACCGCGCACCTTGACTCGGGCATGTTGCAGGTTGATGTTGAATGTCTTCCTGATATTCTCGGGCTGCTTGCACTTGGTACTGTAGTATTTTGCATGTCGGATTTCATGTGTTTTGCTTGTTCATGCTTTTCCAAACACTTCGTTTTGCGAAGCTGCAGGACGGGGGGGGGGCGACAGGGTCGTTCAAGAGGCCGTCGCCAACGAAGCTCCACTTGAATCGACCGGGTAAACGTGCCTGCAAAAAGTAAATGCACGGCCTGGGTGTCTGTGGGCACAGCTGGTGTGCAACTAGTTTCGCTTTTCGCTGAAACCAGGTTTTGCAAGGTCTAGGTCCTGTTTTGTGTGATTCCACCAATTAACGACCTGATGGTCGTCGTCCACATCAGGCTTGGGTCTCGCCTTACCGGCCTGACATGTATCTTGAAAGTTTTGTCTTAATCTGCTGTCCATCTACCCAAATTGCTGAAAAGGCCAAAGCATTTTGGGATGCATGGCAAAACCATCAACTCGGCTCATTTCATGCCGGTGAACGTCGAACTGGCCGAAACCACACACATTCCTTGCACATCGACTAGTTGATGGAGCAAGCCGGCATTGTGCGGCTGCCGGTTCGTTCAGGATGGACGGTCCCGTGGTCAAGGCCTCGTGGAGTATTCCTCGCAGAAGGATGCCAGGCCAGAGAGTCCATCTGCACAGGAGCTGCCATGTCCCGTCGGCGTGTGCTTTCCTTGTAGGTCCGCCATCAACTACTTGAACGGGTGGTTGATCGGTTCCTCCACGCTGACGGTTCAGGTTCTTTGGTCCGCTGCACGGAGTGTCTTTGCAGACTCAGCTGGGCTAGGAGGATCGCGTGGGGGCGTGCTGGACTTACATGGCCCAGCTCGAGAAAGAAGGGTCATGAGTCGTCATCGTGGCTCATCCTTCAACTCCAGGTCTGCGGAGTCGCAAGGTGTCCGGTCTGAATGAGGGGTGCTGTCACAGCTCGTTCTTGGGCATCGACCCAGTTTGACACGTCATGGTGGGTACATGTGCCGAGGCACCTGGGCAGACAAGGCGCGTCCTTGTTTTGATGCTGTTATCCGAAAGAAACGTCTCGCCTTGGCAGGGAGAGGATTGGTGGGATGGTCACTCAGGTGCCCTCTTTTTCTCACATGCGCGCAGAATCCACGGAGTGCGCCAGTATTCTTCAGCGGCGCTCCCAGCCAGCTGCCGGTCGGAAGAGCTGCGAGCTCAAAGTGCTTCGGGAAGGCATAAGCTAATCAAGGCCGGGATCAAGGATAGATTTAATAGACATTATGTTAGTTGGGTTAGGTTATATTGTTATGATTATGGGAAAAGATCATATTAGACTACACCAGATCCCATGGATTTGTAGACTCAAAACTTCTGTTGCGAAGGGAAGTATGAATCAGCCTCGAGCAGATGCATATGCCAGGTTAGTGCAAGTCAATCCAAAGTGGTTTCATGGAGTCTCCTCAGAGCAGCTGCTGCGAGCTGGAGTCGTTTGCTGAGGTCCAGTCCTATTTTCGAGAGTATGGCACAGTGCTGAGACCCAACAGTACAGGCGTGCTGCTAAACTTGCTGCTCAGTCGACAGATTTGCAGTATGGCTCTCAGAGACGAAGCAGGTGCATGGTTTCAGGCAAACTTCTCTGCACGAACATCCCTCTAAAGCACACAGGACAGCTCAGTTCGTGTAAAGACGGCCCCTTCCCGTCAACCAGGCTTGTGGAGGCCAAGTGACGAGTGTGCTCATACATGGCATCAGAAGCCTTGCCGCAGCCATGGCGGCAGCGGATGATGACGCCGTGACGGAGCAGAAGGAGCTCTGTCGGTGTACTGGCCAATTTTCCACTCTTCCGTCGGATGGGTCAAGGATGAGTCACAAGAGCCGCGGAGAGGTGCACCGCACATGTGGTCAAGTGCAGCCAGGAACATCCGAACGTGTAACATGATGTAACAATGTAACATGCGTCTGAATTGACAAGCCATTTTGGCTTGAAGCTTCTAGTGTGCATCTTGAGCGGCAGCCATCGGGCGCCGCCATGGCCTCACTCTCCTATTATGCGGGAGGTGAGTGGATGAACTTCCCCTATGGCAGCGAGCCGCGGAAACCGAAGGTCGAAGTCCTCCATGCGACCAAGGAGCTAGTAAAGTTTACCCTCAGTGATACAGACGTCAGTGTGGCGAACTCACTTAGACGGGTGATCCTTGCCGAGGTTCCGACCATGGCCATCGAAATCGTCAACATTGAAGAAAACGACACAGTTCTCTTTGATGAGTTCATTGCTCACAGGATGGGTTTGATACCTTTATCTAGCCACGGAGTTGGAGATATTCCTCCGGACGGTGGTGTTTTAGAGTTCAAGGATTGCAACTGCTTTGATGGATGTCCGTACTGCACGAGGGAGTTCAGGCTCAATGTTACCAATCGTGAGGACAAGGTTCTTTCAGTTACGCATTTCGATATTGAGGAGGACACACAGCAGACGAAAAGGTTCGAGCGACCAGAGTGGCCGCACTTCAAGAAAGTGCGGTGCTGTCCTTTTCGGGACCCTACCCTAGATGAGGAAGCAGATCACAAAGAGAACGGCATTATCATCGCGAAGATGAAGAAGGATCAGAGCTTGAAGATGATCTGCACAGCCCGGAAAGGCATTCCAAAGTATCACTCCAAATGGATGCCAGTGGCAACCTGCGTCATGAACTATGAACCGATTGTAAGTGTGAATCCAGAAGTTGCAGCAAAGCTGACACTAGATGAGAAGATAGACTTCGTTCAGTCTTGTCCTCGGAAAGTCTTTGAGATGGTTGAGATCGAGGACACACACACGATTGAGGTGGCCAGGCATGAAGACTGCATATTTTGTGACGAGTGCACGACCAAGGCCAGGCTTCTGAACAAGAAGGATCTTTGCACGGCAACGATGGACACGTCGAAATTCCACTTCACGGTTGAGGCTGTGACGTCAGATGGGCCGCGAACAGCTGTGGACGTTGTCCGCGCTGCGCTGCGAATACTTGACTACAAGCTGTCCCTCTTTCTTAAGGACGCATATGGGGACGACATCCAAGATCACCTGCCGTTGGAACCAGCGGTGCGAGAGAGGACAGGAATGTAGGTTGGAAGATTGCAGACATTCCTGGCTCAGGGCAAAAATCACTGGCATAGCACTGTCTTTGGCATTTCAAAGCAGGGCTAACATCAGGGTCGAGACCTCCATGAGTTCCATTCGTTTCGACATCATAAAGCATGCACGTTTAAGGCAATTAAGGCACTTGTAGCGAACAGATTTTCAACAGCAAGCAGCAGATTGACAAGCGTGGTTGATGCACATGTACTTTTCGGCCTGCAGGAAGATAGCTCATGTGCATGCACAGAATCGTGGCTTCGCTTGAAGATCCCCAACCTACAATTACCGACCCATACAATCTTATCAGCTCATTTTGCACCTGGTGTTTGCCATGACGAGGTGCAGATGGCGGCAACATTTTCCTGTTGGGAGCCAAGCTGCGCAGCTCTTAGGATGGCTGAACTTGTTACCGAGCTCGTGCACAGGACGTGCCTACGGATTCGATTCGAGGAGCGGGGGAGCTGGTCCAAAGCCCTCGCAGATCCACCGCTGCAGGTTCGGCTCGACTAGTTTTCCGCGGCAGTATAAGATACATAGCTGTGAGGCAGAAGAGCGCGACAGTGACAACCTCGAAGGCAAAGACCTTTTGGTGAATGCTTGCAGCCAGAACTGAAATCGGAAGAGCTTGGGTGTAGGCGTGGCGACGGCAAGAATTGGCACCGAACCAGGCAAAACGTGTTGCTTCCCGGTGATCCCGGTGCTCGATTTCACCAGACATGCTGATCGGTCCTGGAGTCGTTGCTACAGAGTCATTGGTTCCGTCTGGTTCTAGAAGGTTCCGGACGAACTTTCAGTAGTCCGCCGACATTCATTAAACCTGTCGCGGGGCTTGCTGCCACGTTGAGCTTTCGAGCGATATTGGGGTCGGGAAGGGAGATCGCCACCTTCGGCATCAGAAGGCCCCTTGAGATGGAGGAAGGTCAGACAAGGGTCGAACAAGGTAAAGCTACGAATGCACATTCGGTCACTTGCCGTGATAAAATACAAGAAAAATAGCCTGCAGAGAAGCAAAAAAGAATTGGACCTGGAAACACAGAGTAGAGCCAGTCGCTTTTGCGTCGTTGGCTGTGGCTCCCACAGGCGGTTCCCCCTTGAGCGCTGGGACGCCGGGACGCTTCAGAAAGGACACTGCAGAGACTTGGCAGATTTGGCAGAGAGTGGATGTGAAACAGAGGATAAGTCGCCGCCGACCTTTCGACGTGGGCTGACTGTCCCCTTGAGGCTGGACTGATGGTCTATGAAGTACGTAGTCATTTTTGGTCGGGGCAAGGTCCGCCGAGGATGATTCGTCCAGCAGCAACAGCAGTCCAAGTCCACGTAAGCTGCGAAGCAAGCTGTGCCACTTGGCCTTCGGCCCAAGGCTCAGATTCTGTCCGTGAAGTTTCGGCGTTACACTGCGTCCCATGTCATCCGCAGGTTACGCGAGTGAAGCCGTGCTTTTGCAGCAAAGCCACGTGATTTCCAGCGGCTTCTGGGGAAGAGCACTTGGTGGTGTGATCCTCAGACGTCCATCATAGATGACGCAACCAATGAGTTGAAGCACAGAATCTGCTCGTGTGTCTTCCGTACGCTTGTAGCAGGTTTGCATTTAGGAAAGACTTGTGGGGTGAGCCATAGCAGAATCGCAGTGCAAGCTCATATTCACCAGGGTATGCCACGTTTCCAGCTTTTTGCAGACAAGCTCCCGGCATCTTCGAATCCCAGTGTCCGCGAGCAAGCAGTTTGAATTCATTGTGTGTCATTCAACATATCAGAGTCCCGAGTTCCTTCAGAGATCGGTCTAGGATGTCTTCCACGTGGACCACGGGTCTCAATCTGCGTGGCGGCATCATGAAAGACTGCACAACCTGAAACATTTTGTAACCTCTTGTCTCGTGCACTGGAGACTTCTGTGTCATTCTGTCTTCACTATGCCACACAGGCAGATTTGCCTGTTCAGGACGTGAGCAACAGCATGACCTAGATCCAGCAATGAGGGCTTTGAAATGTATCACCTCGAGCTCACCTCGCTTGTTGCGAGCTTTGAGGCAACGACGTTGCTGGTAAGCACCCTCATGTACCTTCGGAGCCTCCATGCGGAGGCGCGCGGATAGCAACATATAGCAACATGACACACCTGCATAGTGTTTTGTGGATGAGGCGTGGCAGTGACTGCGAAGCCCCTCAGGCTCTCTTGCAATGTGGCACGGCCCGCCTGTGTTCTATGCGGCTTTTGCGAGGCCACTGAGGGGTCAGGCCAGCCGACCATCGCGTGGACTGCCGTCGGCACGAGCTGCATATTACTTCGAGCTTGAGGCCTGGAGACAGAAAAAAGGGAAGGAAGACGAGCCATGACTTGGCAGGTGCTGGAGACAGATCCGGAGACCACCAGCACCCTGTCGCCGGAACCTGACTTTCCTCCAAGTTTCGATTGGCACAGCTCGGAAGTTGTGAAGGGCATTCAGAGAACACCACACACACACACTGTCTCAAGGCTGGGGTTCTGCTTCTTTGCAGGGAAGAAGATGCAGGCGCAGAGAGCAAAGTGCGGGCAGGGCTGCATGGGGGAGAATGGCGAGTACACAGCTGTGACCTTGCCAGCTGCCATGTTGGACATTCCGTGGGAATCTCTCTGATTTCCCCGTGTGGATAGAAGTATGGCGAGAGCTGAGCTTTTGCGGGCGGGCGTGTTGCAGACGCCAGACATCTTGGTCTGACGGTGTTTGTGCGCGGGCGAAGATGATCAAAACTTGATGTGGGAATCTCTCTGAACGTGAGGTGAGGACACAAGAGTAGGGTAAAAGCTGAGCTGGCAACTGGCATGTTGGTCCTTGCGTCCAAACTTTCGCAGGGTGAGACGCTTGTTGTCTGCAGCGGCCATACTCAATGCAAGCTTGAAGCCAGGCAGTTGATTGACTGCAGCAACCGCTCCTGGGAGCTGCCATGTTGAACCTGCACAGCATTTTGTGGAATCTTTCTCCGTTCGGATGGAAGAGTAGGATAACAGCATTTGCCAGCGGGAGTTGTGCTCATGGCTTGCGAGTGCTGCAGCCACCAGACATCTTCGCGTGATGGTTGTGTGGGGGGCGAAGATGATCAAAACTTGATGTGGGAATCTCTCTGAACGTGAGGTGAGGACACAAGAGTAGGGTAAAAGCTGAGCTGGCAACTGGCATGTTAGTTCTTGCGTCCGAACTTGCGCAGGTTGAGACGCTTGTTGTCTGCAGCAGCCATACTCAATGCAAGCTTGAAGCCAGGCAGTTGATTGACTGCAGCAACAGCTCCTGCGAGCTGCCATGTTGAAACTGCACAGCATTTTGTGGGAATCTTTCTCCGTGCGGATGGAAGAGTCGGATAAAAGCATTTGCCAGCGGGGGTTGTGCTCATGGCTTGCGAGTGCTGCAGCCGCCAGACATCTTCGCGTGATGGTTGTGTGTGGGGGCGAAGATGATCCAAACTTGATGTGGGAATCTCTCTGAACGTGAGGTGAGGACACAAGAGTAGGGTAAAAGCTGAGCTGGCAAATGGCATGTTCGTCCTTGCGTCCGAACTTGCGCAGGTTGAGACGCTTGTTATCTGCAGCAGTCATGCTAAATGCAAGCATGAAGCTAGGCAGTTGCTGAAGCTGTACCTGCTCCGGCATTGCGAGCAAGGATGAGCAGCATTTTGTGGGAATCTCTCTGATGTTCCCGTGCGGATAGAAGAGTAGGGTAAAAGCTGAGCTTTTGCCGGCGGGAGTTGTGCTCATGGCTTGCGA